AATACATAGATCAATTGTGTAAAGCACATCTATACATTTGTTGCCCTCATCATTCCCAAAATTCTCTTGCCTCTTGGGTTCCATTTAAAACTTTTAACTATACTGGGAGAACAGAGGGAACAGAAGTATATGAGAGTATGTGGGTGTGGGTGTGGGTGTACGTAGGGATAAAAGGGTAAAAACTAAATTTGCATTTGCTCTGCCATCTAAATATAGGCCCCAGAGCTATCACTTCAGCAGCACTCCTCCCAACCCTTCAGTCTAGCTTTCAGGGGTTGGTGCTAAAGGCCAGTTACCAAATGCTCCACTTATTTTCCCTGGATCCCTTTCTCTTCGAGGGGAAAGCATAGACTGCTGTGTGCTAAACAAGAGACAAACCAAGAAGCATATGGGAGCCTGTCCAGCTCTCCTGCTTTCAAGGAAAAGACTACAACTGTCTCTAGCCTAAGTAACTCATAGGGTATAGCCAGAACACTTATAATTATATATTTGCAAGCTCAAGGAAGAGGTTATATACAGTACAAACCTTTTTCTGGTTTTCCTGAAGTTGGGAATTTTCATTCAAAGCATCCTTTATTGCAATCTTAAGTCGTTCTTCATTCATTTGAAATATTTTGAAGGTCATTTTGGCCTAAACAAAATAAAAAATACTGAGTTCATAGTAACTTAATTTCATTCAATAGATTATTCTGACATAATGCATAGAACATGGAAAACACGGAATTTAACAGGACCAAAACAATATCAATATTAATGGCAGAGAAAGCCTTGTGTAGCAGAAAATGGTTGAACAGAATGAAGTTTTACTCATGGCTCTACCATTAATCTTTTATTTACCCTAGGGCAAGAATTTAATCCCCTTAACATTCTATACACTGTGCAGGAAATGATATCATCTGTCTCCCCCACAATCATGTTAACTACATACTATGTGTCTCTGGGAGAGCTTTTTTTTGACTACTAACGTTAAGTGCCAAGCATCAAGAGTGTCCAGTGCACAGCAGATTATCTGTACAGTGGGGGGTAAAAAATGGCCTTGTCTGACGTTACAGCTGCCTTAGGAGCCATCAAGTTGGTTCCAACTCATAATGACCTTACAGACAACAGAATGAAACAATGCTCAATCGTGTGCCATCCTCACAATGCTTGTCTTATTTGAGCCCATCATTATAGTCACCATGTTAATCCATTTATCTGAGGTCTTCCTCTTTTCCAGGGACCCTCTATTTCACAAAGCATGATGTCAATCCACATGCTAAGAAAATGATCAGAGAAGCTGGATTATATGAATCAGACTTGAACGAAGGCTTTTTATATATATATAAATCATTGTATTGGGGGCTCTTACATCTCTTATAACAATCCATACAGCAATTTTATCAAGGACATTTGTACATAAGTTGCCACCATAATTCTCAAAATATTTTCTTTCTATTTGAGTCCTTGGTATCAGCTCCTCTTTTTTCCCTCCTTCCCCCGTCCTCCCACCCTTGTGACCCCTTGATAAATTATAAATTACTATTTTCATTTCTTGCACCATCCACTGTCTCCCTTCACCCACATTTCTGTTGTTC